AATGACAATAGGAGGCCTAATACTTTAATGGCTTTATTTTCATGCAAGATCGCAGTTCCTGGTAATTGATTGCTTACATATAGTTTGCATTGTACTTCAATACTTATGTATTTTGTATGTTTCTAAATACTTTAATATACTGTCTCTATTAGAGTATAGTGCTGTATTTAAATTTTGTGTAATGCAGGTGCAGAGTGTAATATGTGGAAGTATAATTGGACATTGGTAGGCCCGGGAGGGGAGGCATATTGGGTCTTTTATGTCTTAGGGAAGAAGAGATTGTTTTGAATATGGTGTGACCTCGCTTTGTGATGGCTGCATGCGGTTAGTTCCGCAGACCCTGAAGAGAGATCGGACCTTGGAGAGGCAGACAGTGGAGCAAAGGGGGGGGAGAAACTACCTGCAGGAAGAGACTTGAAGCCGCCCCAACTGGTGCACAATGAGTTATAGCTTAATAAAATAGTTGCAGTAGACAATATATAAAATGTTACGCGGTAGTGCAAATGTATAAGTACTGTAATCATGTTAATCATACGTTAACCATGTATTTGCAATGATTCAATGACAATACGTCAATGTATTAATCATTAATCAATGGAACACCCAAACATTACCAGTTATTCAATGTCATATAATCAATATCTGTGGTTGTGTGTGGTTTTTGGAGAATGTGTATGTGGTCATGGGTGTGGGGTCTCCCAGGTGCAGTATCCTCAGTGGGATAAATGATACGTCAAGTTCATGTTGCTCCACACTGTCGCATGCAGGTGCCAACATTCAATGGAATAGATAATAGCCCAGTGGACTAATATAGTACAAAAGTATCTGGGGAAGCATGTGTTGGATCTGAGATATAGTGGAATAAACTTGTTAATTTGCTTTTAGGACACTAAATGTTTGGAATAACACTTAGTTCTTTATGATTCTTTCGTCACCCAGTAACAAGGTGTCTTGTTTAGTTTAGTGGCCACCCAGCAGCTGCGTGCTTTGTACAGACGGCAGCTACTTTGAGTGTGTATCAGGGTCAGAACTTAGCTCACTTAGCCAGAATCTGTAACCAGGGGTACTGTGGGGGCATGGATGCCCTGGCAGATTCAGGGGCCCCAGCACTCTGAACATATACAATTAAAAATAAAATTGGATGGGGGACCAAGGTGACATTTTGTCACAGGCCCAGAATTTCTAGCTAAGCCTCTGATTGTAAAATCAGATGCCAATTCAAAGGTCCTGTCATAGGCAAAAATCATGCAAACATATGCTCCTAA